GTTCATTCCGCGACTTTGTTGGACATATCGGCACAATCAAGGAACATCCGTGCACCATGTCGGCTCCAAATGCACTCATTGTGTCAGTGATGGCTGACTGGTGGGTGGATGGGCAGGCAGGCAGGCAGGCAGGCAGGCAGGCAGGCAGGCAGGCAGGCAGGCAGGCAGGCAGGCAGGCAGGCAGGCAGGCAGGGAGGCAGGCAGGGAGGCAGGCAGGGAGGCAGGCAGGCAGGGAGGCAGGCAGGGAGGCAGGCAGGCAGGCAGGCAGGCAGGCAGGCAGGCAGGGAGGAGGCAGGCAGGCAGGCAGGCAGGCAGGCAGGCAGGCAGGCAGGCAGGCAGGCAGGCAGGCAGGCAGGCAGGCAGGCAGGCAGGCAGAGCTTGGGAGGGAGGCAGAGATTGGGAGGGAGGTAGGCAGGAAGGGAGGCGGGCAGGCAGAGCTTGTGAGGGAGAGGCAGGGAGGGACGCAGGCATGGAGGGAGACAGGCACGGAGGGAGGCAGGCAGAGCTTGGGAGGGAGCCAGGGAAGGAGAGGATGGAGATGGATTGATGGAAGGATGGAGGGAGGGATGGAAGGATGGATGATTTGAGGGTGTGTGTGTGTATGGGCTGTAGGGGTGGGTGGGGGGGGGAGGTACCGACTCGGTGATAACCCTAACTCTGACCCAGTTAACTTTTTTTTAACTTTATTTGTTTCTTCAATTCTGGATGGATGGAGGGAGAAAGGGGATGGATGGAGAGAGGGAGGGATGGATGGAGAGAGGGAGGGAGGGATGGAGAAAGGGAGAGAGAGAGGGAGGGAGGGATGGAGAGAGGGAGGGAGGGAGGTATGGAGAAAGGGAGAGAGAGGGAGGGAGGGAGGGATGGAGAGAGAGAGGGAGGGAGGGAGGGATGGAGAGAGGGAGGGATGGAGAGAGGGAGGGATGGAGAGAGGGAGGGAGGGAGGGATCAAACACACATGATGCTGTGTGTACAGGGATTAGACCCGTCCACTCACTCACGCTGGAGTTGTTCCAATAACATACAGTAATTTCTCAAAGAGCAGATGTCTATCATATTACAGTATATTTTCGGTTTTATTTAGTTTAGTTTAAGGGGGCGTCTGAGTATTATAGTGAAAGTTGTTCAATGTCAACCAATATTAATTTTCTAGTTGTATATGAAAAGTGCTTAAATTGTCTCAAGTTTCAGTACTGCAGCGTAAATAGAAAGGGAGTTTTTTTGTTTTTTTTTCAACGTTTTTTACACATTTTCAAGTCCACACTTCAGAACACACGTTTCAGATATAATTATTCTGTGACACTTTTCTGACACATTAGCATATAATAAAGGATTTGGGGCTTTAGAATTTCCAAAACATCTTTAGTTTTCCTAATACAAATGTTCAAAGTTCCCCAAATTTTTTTTGCAAATATGGCATGTTTATTGCTATTATAAAATCAATAAATAAACTTAGAGAAAAATGAAAGCCCCCCCAATGTAGAGACATGCCCTCCACATATAATGTGTAAGTTTCATGTAAATTGAATAAAAAATGAATCGGTTTTGTAAACGTTTGTGTCAATTGAAAAAAAACAAATGAATAAAGTCTAAGGTTCTAAAATCTGTGGCTGAGGTTGACATCAACCAATTTTCTCCAAAATTGGCATCCTTACAGATAGGCTTACGTACAGTCAGGTGTGTAAGTTTGATGCAAATCGCCCCCCAAAAAATGAAAAAAAAAATTTTTTGAAAAAAGAAAGAAAATCCTTTTTTTTTTTTTCTTAAATTTTTTTCCAATTAAACTAATTATAATATTTGTTTAATATATGCTATTGTGATAGCAAAGAGTCGTAGTTATGATTTCAGTTGACACTTTTGATTGATAATCGATTTTGACCATTTTTGCATAATTTTCACAACTACTTCAATATTTTTTTTCTCCCTTCCTATTTATGCTACGATGCTGAAACTTGGACCAGATGAAACACTTTTCATATAGAACTTGTCAAAAAAGTTTGATTGAAATCGAACGAGTTTTCATTTATTGCATTTTTGGGGCAAATTGGAACCTAATGCCCCATTAATTAGGGTAATAAAAAGCTATTAAAACACTAGTTTTAGAAATTATTTATTAATATGAAACTTTCAAAAGTCATGGGTCACTGAACTATGACGACACACAGACGAAAAGACTGAAACCTCACTGTAAATTGAGGTTTACAGTACAGTATTCCCTTATCTGTCCACCCTCACTCATCTTGTTTCATCACAGAAAATGTCTATAAGGAGATTTTACCACATGTAGCTAGGTAATCACGCTTCATCCTTTAAATTAATGTACAAAGATACGTGTGCCCCAAATCAGTGAACGAAAATCATGGAAACTCAGTTGTTCACTTGTGTGGATCACTGGCTGGTGTTTGTGTGGACCATTTTGGCTGGTGTTTGTGTGGACCATTTTGGCTGGTGTTTGTGTGGACCATTTTGGCTGGTGTTTGTGTGGACCATTTTGGCTGGTGTTTGGTTCATATGGTTCACTTGTGTGATCCAACTTCTTATGAAGGAATTATTAACTGTGATAGAATGAGAAAGTTTTCCACCACTCTGTGAACTCTGTCCCAAAATCGTAAGCTTGTGGACCACTTGTGGTCCACATGTGTGGTCCACTTGTGTGGTCCAACTTATCATATGAGAGAATTATTAATTGTAATCTGTGATAGAATGGGAAAGTTTTCCACCAGTCTGTGAACTCTGTCTGGACATCGTAAGCAAATCCGAACATCCCTCGCTTAGGTGAACCATTGTTCGTCGAACCGGGTGAGCAAATTTGGCCTGAAAAGTGTGCGAACTAGCCGGAGATTCGTTGAATCGGGGTACGTTGAATCGAGGTTGTACTGTATCTACATGTTATGTTCACCACGACTGTACAACTAAACTGATATAGTTAGTTCAGGCACTAAGAGACGTTACTACACACAGTGAGCTGGCGGCTGCCTCCCTCACACATTCAAGGTCAGACGCACTAAAATTTCACCCCCAACAATACTGTTTGTGGTGTTATTACCCTATATACACACACACACACTATATATAAGTATCTACATGTTTTGTTCACCATAACTGTTCAACTAAGCCTGTATAGTGCCCAAAGAGCATAGTTACTACCACAACCAACATGACAAATCATGCAGATGTTGCCACCCCCATCACCAAAATAGCTTCTCCCCCACACTCCTTTTGCTGTTATTACACTGTGTATACATGTTATATATAAGTATCTACATTCGTGTTCACCATAACGAACCACTAAGTTGGTACCTGAGTGGCAGTGGCAGCCAGTGGCAGCCCGCCACTGGCAGCCCGCCACTGGCAGCCCGCCACTGGCTGCCACTTCCTTTCTCCCTCACCTCACCTGACTCGCCACCATTCTCCTCCCACAATACTGTTTTTGCCTTTATTCACCATATACAGATGTTATATATAAGTATCTGCATGTTTTGTTTACCATAGCGAACAACTAAGCTGGTATAGTGAGTCCAGACAGTAAAAGGTGGTCACACAGAGTCAGCAGACAATGCTACCTCCCTCCCCACCAAGATTACTCTTCCCACTACAGCGCTAATTATCACAACAATCCTGATATTATCAGAATCCTGGTAATTTTTATCGCAGTAAGGGGTCTACTGTAATAATATCATCACTAAATAATGGCATGAACATATATATTATGGCATTTTTAGGCGATGCTGTGGTCACAAGTTGAACAGCAGTGCTGTGAGCTTATGCTGCGTGCATCAGGCTTGGTGGCTCACTCGGTACTGAGACCCCTCACTCCCGGAAATTTGGCCCACGATTTAAAAAAAAAATAGTGTCTGTTTACAAGAGCCCTGATGAAGGTGAGGTGAACCCTGTGTATCTGTGGGACATTTAAATCTTGCGTAGTACTCCAATACATCATATGATGTGATGCGCAATTTATAGCAAGTTACTCAACACATCGTATGATGTGTTGCGCAGTTTAAGGGTTAAACAATAAACATATGAAAAATTAAAACAATTTACTGTAACCTTAAACATAAAATAATAATTCCTGAAACAATATTTGGCAATTACACATTCTTTTATAATAAAAACCCAAATGAATATGCTACTCTACTTGCAAAGAAAATAATGATGACTTAAATTGTGTACATAATCCACACGATCACCATCACACATTGTAGCAGGAAATAACAGCGAGTGAAGGGGAAGACGTGAGCATCCCAGGAGCACCAGAGAGTAGACTGTCTTCTTAGGCCATCAGCAGATCTATATATATACGCCCACTGGTGACGTCACATCTGGTGTCAGTGCAATTGTTGACGAGAAGCCGGCGAGATAATGAGCAGTTAGTGGGCGCTAACGGGTCACCGGCAAACACACTTAGCCGGGGCTCACGGGGTTGGTGGAAGGTGGCCGGGTGGAGAGTATCCAGACAGATGTCTGGCCAGCTGTCTGGTTTATGCTGTTGTAGAGATGGATAGTAGCATTAAGGTGTTGAATGTGGTTGGAAGAGGCAGCTTTCAGGGGAATTATGTGACTGTGCCCCAAAAATATTAGAAAGTTTTCTTTTGCAAACAGAGTGGTAGATGGTTGAACAAATTATGTGAGAAAGTGATGGAGGCTAAAAACGTCAGTACAGTAGTTTCAAAGTGTTATATGACATTGCTGGGCAGACGGGACACCGAGCGTAGCTCTCATCCTGTATCTACACTTAGGTAATTACACTTTCGGGACAATGAGCCAGAGCTCAACTGCTCTGTAAACCGCAAGCACAACTAGGTGAGTACATGGGGTAATTATGCTCACATTTATGATCATTCACATTCTTGCTTTTATTTTCCTACTCTTCCTTCCTTCCTTCCTTTTGTATATCCTGATTTCAATTCCAGCATGCATGGAGGGAATATTCCACAATTTGAAATAGTCATTTTATGCCATTAAAAATGTTGAAGTATCTGTATCTGTATTTTGAATTTCAGGTGCTGATATAAAGGAGATGCAGAACAGAAGATTTGTAGAATGCTACGGTACGAACTTTCTTGGTAACTGGGATGCTGTGAGCAAAGCCAAGAAGCCAATCATAGCTGCAGTGAATGGATATGCTCTTGGTGGAGGCTGTGAACTGGCTATGATGTGTGATATTATCTTGGCTGGAGAGAAAGCAAAGTAAGGATATTATTCTACCTCTTTGACTGTGATGGCTTAAAATATTTTAGAATTTTTTTGTGTAATATCTAATGTGCCTTGCAACAAGATATCTCTTGAGAAAAAATATTAAAATGCAGGAGGGGGGATGGGGTGGATACAGTGAAGTTCAGTACTGGTTTAAAAATAATGTGTACGAGTAGAATGGGCTGCCAGCTTGAATGAAGATGAACAGTTTATCTGGCTTCAAGAATTACAGTCTCCGTGGTGTAGTGGTAAGACACACTCCTGGCGTTCCGCGAGCGCTATGTCATGGGTTCATATCCTGGCCTGGGAGGATTTACTGGGCGCAATTCCTTAACTGTAGCCTCTGTTTAACACAACAGTAAAATGTGTACTTGGATGAAAAAACAATTCTTCACGGCAGGGGATCGTATTCCAGGGACCTGCCCGAAACGCTACGCGTACTAGTGGCTGTACAAGAATGTAACAACTCTTGTATATATCTCAAAAAAAAAATAAATAAAATTGATTGTATAGGTATTTTAATGGGACAGGGCGGTATTTGAATGGATCTGGTGTGTTCATAGGGATCTTCCTTTCCCTATGGACACACCAGTGATGGTGTGTTTGGGAGTTCACCTCCAAGAGGCCAGGCCATTGGGGTCGAGAGCCTCGCTGTAGGTAGTGCACAAGTTGTTGCCTCCTCTGTGTGATCCTATGGTTGGGTGTGTTCTGTTAGTTTTTTGTGGGGTGTGCTAGGGATTGTTCCTTTGTTCATATGGAATGCTGTGGATACCCCATTGTAGCAGAATTTATCCATTAGTCTGCGTTTGGTTTCTGTTCATCATGCGAACATATCTGGTGCCTGGGTGTCCTTCTTGGTTAAGATCTTTTAGGTCCTGGTAACCCCTGTGTGGCTCATAATGGATCGACCAATTGAGTCCACTCTTGCTGCATGAGAGTTTGAAGGGTGTTCGTCAGCCTTGCTATATGCTGATGCTCATTGTGTGTAATTATCTAAGTGTAATTACCCAAGTGTAGTTGCAGGATGAGAGCTATGCTCATGGTGTCCCGTCTTCCCAGTACTCTTTGTAGTATAACGCTTTGAAACCAATGATGGTTTTGGCTTCCACCACCTTCTCACTTAACTTGCTCCAACCATCTACCACTCTGTTTGCTAAAGAAAACTTTCTAATATTTTTTCGGCACCTTTGTTTCCTTAGCTTGAATCTGTGTTCTCTTGATCGGTAAGTTGTTGGTGTCAGGAATTCCTCTTTGTCAATTTCGTCTATTCCTGTTAAAAGAAAAAGAGGTGATAAGATCACCACTTATAAAATACTATCTTTTAGTTTTGGCATGTTTAACGCCTCTAGCCTCTCCTCTTAACTCTTGTTTTTCAGTTCCTGAAGCCATATGGAACATGCCATTGCACTTTTTCCAGTTTATTTATGTGCTTCTTGAAATTTGGGCACCGTACAACTGCTGTGTATTCCAATTTTAATCTTGCAAAAGTCATTTATTAAATGAAGATAAGTTCCAGCTTCTGCGCTATGGAAAAAATTAAAATATAAAAACAGAAACCATGTACAAATTGCAGTCAAATCATAACATCGAATGAAAAAGCAGTGGTAAGGACTTGTGTACTCGTGTCGGAAGACCTTACCCTCAAAAAAACACAATAAAGTAGCCGTCACAACTGCAAGAAAAATGACAGGTTGGATAACAAGAACTTTTCAAACTAGAGATACTATACCAATGATGACACTTCAAGATGCTAGTGCTCTCATTGTGCTGTTGCACAATGACCCCCCTTTCAAAGCTGGAGAAATTGCAGACCTGGAGAGCATGCAGAGATCCTTTACTGCTAGAAGCCACTCTGTAAAACATGTAAACTATTGGGAACGACTAAAATGCCTGAATCTGTATTCTCTTGAGTGCCAGCGCCATTTTAAGTTATTCATTTTTGCCACCACCAAGGAAATCACCCAAAAAGTCAGCAAGACAAAACAGAGCTGGCTGCTACTGGTACTGACACTCAAAAATGGCTTTTGATCTCCCCAAACTATGTAAACAAATATCAAACGTGTTATAACCAAAAATTTTATAACCCAGCACCCGCTCATTTGCCCCTCTCTCCCCCTGGTTTGGGGTGAGAAGGAGGCAGGCCGCGGCTCATTAGTTGCACCGCCACCAGTTCTCTGATGTGTGCTGGGTCTGCCACTGTCCCTCTGGCCTCAGTGGTTTTCTTTGGAAATGGTGGCTGATTCTTGCATGTTATGTATGTGTATGGTAATCCCATGGGCTCGGGGGGCCATGAATATTCCTCCTGAGCCCCGCCTTTGCTGTATGCGAGTTTGAATGGTGTACATGTTCGATGCCACATAGCGATGTTCCTTTGTTCTGTCTCCACCATGCTGCCTGTTGGGTCGGTGACACCTTTGACCCTGAGTTGTGCGGGGAGTGCTCCTGTCACGTTGCTCTTCTTACTAGCCCTCCTGATGATGATCAAGCTTACCAGGCAGCGACTGCTTTTTGTGTTAGGTTTCTGTGCTACAGTGGTCTAGGTTGTGTGCTTGTTCAGAAGCCCAGGCGCTGCCCCATTTGGTTTTTAGGGACCTGAATTTGGAGGTGTTTGTCAATTCGACATAGGCTCTGTCTGGACCTCCTCTTCCTTCCCCATTTGGGCATGGTTTGCTCTCCTCTAGTCCTTCCCCGAGCAGAATTTAGCTCAGTCTGTGGCTTGGGTCGCTTCAGGGGTCGCTCCTTCTGTTTTTGGGCACGGAGGGAGTTGAGCCTCTGTCCCGCTTAGGTTTCAGGACCTTCTGACTAGCTGGCCCTTTCCTTCGAAGCTTCCCCTGAACTCCGCTGGTCTTCCGGGCCCCTGGCTATGGACGATGGCCCAGCCCGGGGGCTCTCTCATCTTCAGTTTCTAGAGCTTGGGAAGAGTTGGACATCGGGTTGTGGGTCACCTTTGACCCTTTGTGGTTCCTAGCGTCTTCCATGGAGGGTCTTTGGTTGTAGGGTGTGGGGTTTTCGTACCCTCCTTCCTCCCATGGGTTGGATTTGCCTGTGGCTCTCCCTAAGGTTTGCTTCTGGAGGCCTTTGCACATGCCGGGAGCATCTTTCTGGAGGTGTCCTACCTCGCAGGTTCTTTGTGAGACCCTTTCTACATACCTCCTGCGTGACCTGGCTTATGCCTTGCCGATGGACCTGGCCTCAGTTCGGATTCCCTGGTCCCCCTTACCTCTGTTGAAGACATTGAAAAACTACAAGCAGATATTAATAAAGTTTTCGACGGGGCAGCAGAAAATAACATGATGTTTAACAGTGACAAATTGCCTCGCCCCAAGGGCGAGGCAAATGCCGAGCAGCAAGAACCTCTACGAGAATGGTTCCCGAACGCCCCAGGGAAGATAACCCTGACACGCTGGGGCAGTACTCACAGGACACTTAGGGAAGGAAGCCCCTAAGCGCATGCAACCCTGGTATTGATGAGGAACACCTGGCCGCCGCACAACACAACACACGGCAGTGAACGCCACACAAGGCAAACACCGCCTAGGAAACTGAGGCCAGAGAAGCGTCTATCCCAGTTGACATTAGCTTACAAACTGATGCTAGGCAGCCGGCTCGGTGAGGTCCGGGGCTTCCCCCTCCCCCTCTCGGGGCGGGGAGGGCTGCGCGGATGATCGGCGCGGCAGTAAAGTGTGATATTTGCTTGTTTGCTTGTTTCCTTGGGATTGTAGGGAGTTTCTACCTCTCTGTTCAGTTTTTGTTTTGTTTTTTACCATCGGGGTTTGTTTTGTTATGCCTACCTTTCTGGGTGCCTAACCCCGGTCGATGGCAGATAAGGAAAACCCCAACCACAAGGGGGTTTTCCAGGGCTAATGCTCCCTGAAACCTCTCTGAAGGGGCCAGGTTCTGGCGCTGGTCCCTGGTAGGTCTGAACTCCTTAGCTAATGTCCTGGTCTAATATAACATACATTAGCCCGATAAGCTCCAGGGAGTCGTAGGGGCTCCCTACAGAAAAGGTTATTTTAATGAATTTAAACATGGATGATGTGTTTAAACATCATCGGAAGGTTTATCTGTCAGAGTACGGATGACTCATTTTAATGTCCTTGGAATGCTGAGGTGTTTATTAATGTCTTTTTTTTTTATTCTTGCTATTAACTCTGCTTGTTAATTAAAAATGATAATATTGGAGATTGTATTAGAAATTTATAATTATTGAGTTGATTTGACGTTTAATTTTTTTTTGCTTAGGTTTGGCCAACCAGAAATTGCAATTGGAACAATTCCAGGGGCAGGCGGCACTCAACGTCTTACAAAAGCTATTGGCAAATCTCGCTCCATGCAGATGTGTCTAACCGGAGATATGATATCAGCACAAGAAGCAAATGCGTGGGGTGAGATGTGATTTGTCTTATAATTTAGTGTCCTATTCAAATATGTTTAACCCTTTAACTGCGCAACGCACCTGCAGGCCCAGGCTTCGGGTGCGCAATGCGCCTCCGGGTGTTTTTATTTTTCACATTCCATTCAAAACTCCCACGGATACATGGGGTTCAAATCAGCTTTCTCAGGGCTCTTGCAAACAGACGCCGTCTTAAAAAAAAATCATGGTCCACATTGCTGGGTGTCAGAGCCTCAGTAGTGAGTGAGCAACCAAGGCTGGCGCTCGCAGCATGAGCGCACAGCACTGCTGTTCAGCGTGTGACCACAGCATCACCTAGTATTGGCAAAATATATATATAATCTGTTTTATTTAGCCATGATAGTATTATAGAAGAGCCTGAGTGTGATAATGACTGGGTACAATATTCAAATCAGTGATTCAATGCTGTTCACGATGTTCACAGCGCTAGCCACAGCACCACAGCATTATTTCGTCCATCTAGGGATCTTCAAACGACTTTTTAGGTTCCTTTTCAAAATAAACTTGTGGTCAATTATTCATTTACAGGTATTAGTGACCAGGATTGTGGTCATAATGAGCGTTGTGTAGGAAGGAGGAATTTTGGTGAGGAAGGGAGAGAATTGAGGTAGCCTCACTGTGTGGCAGTAACTCTTGTTTTGCTCACCATACTAGCTTTGTGGTTCGCTATGGGGAACACACATGTACATGGGTATATACAGTGTGTGTGGAATAGTGTAATAACAGCACCAGGAGTATGTTGTGAGGAGCTATTTTGGTGAGGGAGGTGACGTAATCGTGGCGTCGTCTGCTTTGTGATTTGTCATGCAGTGTATGGTGGCCACTGTACTGTTTGGACACAATACCGGCTTACTTGCATAGTTCTGGTAAATAAAACATGTAGATAGGTATATAGAACATGTGTAAATAGTGTAATAAATACAATAACAGTATGGTGGGAGGAGCAATGTTGGCAAGTAAGATGTAGGAGGAGTGAGGGAGGGCTGGCTGGGTGTGACAGCTCACACTCGCGGTGTTCTGAATGTGTTGATGGTGAATGTATATAGTGTGTGACAGTGTATAGTCTGTAAATAGATTGTATATATGCATAAATTAGATTGATACATGGTAAATATGTGCAACATATGTGTACACAAGTGTCATGCACGTAACAGTGTCCTCAGACAGTACGGATGTTTTACTGCCATAATATAGTGTACATGTTCATTATACATAGGATTAGCATGTAAAAACAAATAAAATTTATTTGGAACTGTGCACAAAAAATGAACAAAAATATATTCGCGGCAACTCGCGCGCCCTGCTCCGGGCGCCCCACCGGTCCCGGGAGCTTACTGCATGGGCGAACGGGGAATGATGACATCACGCCCCAACTTACGGATCCCATAGCAGCCAAAGTAAGTTCAAGTTCAAAATTTTTCTGGGGGGAGCCCCGTCGGCTCCCCGGAGCTATCCCAGGCTGATATGCTAATGTCAGACTTTGGCATCAGTCATGTGTATGGAGTTCTTAGGCCTACCGGGGACCACGGCCAGAACCGGGCCCCCTCAGAGAGGCAAGGGGAGCAATGGCCTATAGAAGCCCCCGTGTGGTTGGAAGCATTCTATGTCTGCCATCGACCGGAACAGGCACCCAGAAAGGTAAGCGCCTCAAAACAAACCCCTATTCTGGTTAAAATTGCTACCAAAAACCGAACTAGTGGATAGAACTCCCCAACCGAAAACAAGCAAACTAGTGTGATGTCACACACCGCCGCGCCGCTGTCTGCGCAGCTCCCCCCTCCCCGGGAGGGGGAAGGGGGAGCCCCAGACCCCCCGCGCCGGCTACCCACACCTCAGTTCTTGAGGCTGATGCTATAGGCGATAGTCGTGTGCTCTGGCTCCGGTGTCGCTACTACACTGTGCTTTGCGTGTGGTGTTGGTTTTGTGGGTGCGAGAGCCAGGAGTTATCTTCAGTACTCGGGCTGCATGCGAATAGGGCTGCCTTCCCTTGTAACACCCAGGACCCCCACCCCCCCTTAGAGTTCACACCCAGGGAAGCCTTCTCCAAGAGGTCAGCCCAGATGACCTCCGGTTTATCTTATATGTTGATTAAAAAAATTCCTGGGTTAGTCTTAGTCAGCATAGTTTCAAGTATGTAATATTTCATGCAAGGGAATTAGACTCCAGATTCTTATGTGTAAACATCCCTGGATCTCCCCCTTTTGGCCAGGTCAGAGGTCAGTCACACACGTAATTAATAACTCCTCTCTTGAAGAGTGTATGGTGAATGTCAAACAAGCTTATTGACATATTTCTTGAGTGTTTGTACACGTGTGGCCGATCTTTTACATTCTTGGGGCAGGTAGCAACAGCAGATCTCCCCCTCCCTCTCTGGGGGTTGTATATAGAGGTCCTGTAGGGACTTGGTAAGGACAGAGTGCCGGACACCGGGGCCCAGAGAGGGCTGTGAAGAACATCTCAGCCAGGGAGAGACAGAGGTCTTAAGGTACTGTGTGTGATCTCTGAGGTTTTGTTCCATGTCCAAATTTCTTAAATTTTTGCCAAAGTTAGAGTAGGATTTATAAGTGGTGATTGACATAATTTTGGTCTTTAATAAACTCATGTTAAATTTCCCGTCTGTGTCAATTGTTGAATCCTCTTGGCCTTGTGGATATAGTGGCTGACAACCATTTTCATAATTAATGACAGTCATAGAAAGTACTCTCCAAGTCGAGCAATGTTTCTTGCCTCGTTGCTTGATATAGTTTCAATGGTCAAAGGCTGATGGTGGCAGCGTATTTAATCCTTGTGTTAGCATTTCCTTATTGGCAGTGTATCTTTTGGTTCCGGTGTAACCATCATATGTCAGCTCACATTACCCTGTTTCATAAGTGTCATCAAGTGCAACCGATGGGGAAGTGTTACTCAGGATAAGTAGTGTTTACATTATTAGTTTAGTATCCATTATTGTGGTGTTCGATTATAGTAGTGGTACAAAAGAGTGGTGTTACACCCTAGGTGCCCTGTAAGTACTGCCCTTGGGGCCACCTTCCACAGGCTCCTCGGGGTTTGCCTCTGCTGGTCCGTTTTACCTTTCGGTTTTTCGGCCGCCTGTTGGGCTCTTGGGTGTTCTGTTCTCCCTTGTTACCGGCAGGTAAGAGGCAGTTTGCACTGGTAGGGGCGCAGGGTGCTGCTCAGCTTGTATTTCCCGACATCGCGGCCGGCTCTGTTCCTTGGGGTTCGCTGTCCTCTTGCGGGGTTTTGTTTTTCTTTTTGTTTTTGCCTGGTGGGGGGTTCTGTCATTTTATTCAGTTTGTTTTTGCCCTTCCACTGTTCTCCTCAGTGGCGCCCCCTGCTAGGTCCCCGTGAGAGTACACATCCCTGGGTTTCAGCTTTAGAAGTTTGCTTGGTAGTTTTGGGTGCTGGTTTGCAGCACCCTGCCTGGGACTACCTGAGCGCGAGTCCTCTTAAAGTAAACGCTCAGGACCCTGGGGATCCCCTAGGGGGCACGTGGGTCCGATGGATGTGACCCCGGAGTCCCCACTCGCTGTGTGCGAGTTTGAGGGTTGCTCGGTCCCCTTGTCTCAGGGTGACCCTCATTGTTTTTGCCTCTGCCACGCTGCCTGTTGGGTCGGTGATACTTTCGACCCTGAGTCCTGTGAGTGTTGCTGCTTGCTTGTGGCTCAATTTACCCAATCCTCTGATGATTCTATTCGGGTACAGGCGGCGCGTGCGTTGCAGTCTAGGTTTCGTCTGTTGCAACATGCTCGGTTGGTTGCTCCCCCGGATGCCCCGGGGCTGCCCCGCTTTGCTTTTCGAGACCCGGACTTGGGGGTGGGGGTCGCTTTGATCCTGGTTCAGTCCGCACCTCCTCGTCCTTCCCCTTCTGTTCGTTCTGGTCCCCTCTCCCCTGCTTCCGGCCCCAAAGCGTCTGAGGGTTTCGGGGTCGGAGCAGGGGTTACTTGATCTCGAGACTCGGGCAGCTTCGGGGGATGCCCCTTCCGGGGGGGCGGCAGAGGCATTCGAGTCTTGTCTCCCGGCCGAAGCTTCAGGGTCTGACCAGTGGGCCCCCCTTCCTCCAGCTTTTCCGGCTGCTCCGTCCTTGTCTTGTGGGGTCGGGGCTTGGGGAGAGGACTCTGCCTCGAGTCCTGTGGTGAAGGACCTCGAGGCTGGGGAGGGGCTGACTTGGGGGCCTTGGGCCCCGCTGGACCCCGCCTGGGTTTTTCTTCCCTCTGAGCGGGGCTTATTGTTACAAGGAGTGGGGTTTTCTTTTCCCCCCTCTGCGTACGAGTTGGATTTGGTGTCGGCCCCTCCCCGGGTTCGGTTCCGTGTTCCCCCGGGTACGTCGGTTCCGTCCTTCCGGAGGTTTTCGGCTTATCGCATCCAACCTGGTGTGGTGCGAGCGGCCTTTGCAGCTTACCTCCTGCGTGATCCGGATTATGCCTCGGAAATGGATCCGGCCACGTTCAGGTTTGGGACTTCGTTCCCTTTCTGGCTCGGTTACGAGGTTCCGGAGTCGTCCTGGCTAGCAGACTGCCCCTTGTTTGGTCTGGATTCCTGGCATTCCTTCTGTCGTTCCCGCACGCTGGAGTGGCGGGAAGCTTCCACGGTGCTTCAGGTTTTCCTGGGGGGCGAACTTGAGTACCTGAATGAGTGCTTGTTTGCCCCTGCCCTTCCCCGCGATGTGGGTGTTATTCAGCTCCATGTGCAGGTTCCCTCCCTTTCGGCGGCGCTCGTTGCGGAGGACTTGCGCGCCCGGGGCCTTTTGGCTTCGGCCTTGCGGTTCTTTTCCCTCCTGGAGCTGTCTTCGGATTGGCTCGTGGAGGATGTGGGGATGCTTGGGTCCGTCCCGGGGTCCGGCACCTTGTCCTCGGCTGCGCGTTCGTCGGCTGCCTTGTTGAAGCTGTTCACGCCGATTTTGCGGGATGCGGTTTCCCTGTTTTATGCTTCCCGTCTCGCGTGTCGGCAGGCGGTGCTGAGTTCCTCCGTGGA